TAATTAAATAATATTCCTGTGTAATAATTAGTAGAGTTTTCTTGGGAGACCTTATCACCTGTGTTGCCAAGTTTTGCATTTGAAAAGCACTAATACCCAAAAAAAAATCGCGTTTTTTCTCGAAAAAAGCACCAAATTTTTATCGGAGTATTTAATAATACAAATTTATAATGCATACAAATTTTTTGTGAGGATGCTTATTTAAAAAAAATTTGTAAAAATTTATAATTTTTTCCTGGCTGCAAAAACAAAAAAATTAAGTTTCATGAACTATGTGGTAGTTTAAATCTACATGATCTCTTGAACTAAATCAACATAAGAACCTTTCTTTCCGAATGCTTGCCACCTGAAACATAACGAAATTTGATTTGAATTTAGCTTCGATTTTTTTTTCTTTTTAAGATTTACAGATTTGGTGTCTTTAAACTAAAAAAAAGCACCAAAAAACGCACCAAGCACCAAACTCAAAAATTTTCGCGTTTTGAATAAAGAAAAGCGGATTTTACAAATATCTCGACTCCTGCGCCACCTAGCGGATTAAGTCATCTTTTATATTGATTTGTCTTCGAGGTCTGAGCTAAATTTAAAGTTTCAAGTCTGTAGCTCATCGGGAAGTTTGTTAACAGTGCTTATCACTAAAGCTGATGCCAAATAAAACTTTGTAGCTTTGCGTGACATTTATAACTTTGCCAGCAAAGCGCCAAACGCAAAAGGTATGCCACAATTAAAGCCAAGAAAACAATTTTGTACCGCTTTTTTACTCGTAAAAGTTCCTGTGGATTTCAATTATTTTGCTTTAAAATTATAATTTTGATAATTATCAGCAATGTAATTAAGTTTTATGTTTCTGCATGAAAACCCGAATTTGGACGAAACAAAATAAATATTAAACCGGCTGTTTGTCAAAGCGCGCAAAAAGATGGGAGTTGGCCATCTTTTCGCTTCGCGCTGCAGCTTCAACGATTTATGTGGCATGCTTTGTGCATTTTCATACAATTCATCTATCTGTCAAGGCGAATCTGTCACGTAAAGCGAAGCAAAAGTCTTATGTGCCATCAGCTTAAGCGAATAGAGGCTGCGAGAGAAATGTTCATAGATATACATCAGTGATCGGCCTTAAAAAAAATCTGTGTGGTAGAATCTGGAAAAAAATGTGGTAGATTTAAAAAAAAAATGGGGAAGATTTCAGGTTTTGGATCAAACTTTATACAAAAATTAAAAAATTCTGCAAGGGTTCACCTAAATTGCAAACTTTTTAATTAGACTCCAAAAAAATTATTTTAGTACAATAAAGTGCAATATTGCAATTACTAAAAATTGCGTTGAGTTTTGGGAATTTTTTTCCTTGACAGTGTAAAGGTGCGTATTTTGAGAGATTTCTGCAACCTTGCGGACTGCAGCCAGCTTTTGTTTTTATCACATCATGATTAGCGAACAAATGTGGCACGTTCCAGAACCCTCTACATGGGATTTGCCGATTTTGACAATTCGCAAGTAAAAGTAAACAACGCCTCGTAAACTTTAGATGCACTGAAATTTGCTACTACTTTCACAAAAATCGCCGTTTTTTAACATATTCGCTATTAATATTTTTATAAATCATATATTTTGCAATTTAACACAATACAACCACGTTTCATGTCGCAAATAATACATAATATTAAATATAATATAATATTATATAATATGTTCTCTGCATCTGCATTCTGTCTGAACCTTTACCATGCAACATTTACCCTGCAACATTTACCCTGCAACATAGTTTTGTTCCACATTCCACTTTTGTAAACAAATAGCATGGTTTCAAACCAATAGTGTCTACATTCCAAATTTCATTTTACACCGACCGTTTCGTACTGTACAAAGTGTATCAACGAGAAAAGGCCTCCACCAAGCACATGCCAGTAGATGGCGCTGAGTGTGATATAGCTGTAAAATCTTATTGTAAATCCGGCTCCGTTTTAGCAGTCGTTTAAATTCCTAAAAATTATTAGCAAAAATTTAACGCCTAGAGCAGAGAACGTTTATAAATAAACGTAATAAATAAACGTTTATAAATGTTCTCTGCCTAGAGACTACCCACACTACCAAGAATTTAAACCTACTTGTTAATATTTCATGATTAAAATCTTAAATGATTTCACAGTTACACAGCTGTGGTGTATAAGTATGTATAAGTAAATATATAATCCACTAAAATTGTTTATATTACATCATCTTCAAAGAAACTTTATGCATACATACATACATATGTATGCATGTATGTATGTATATGTGTAATTCAAAGAATATGCAGATGCACTCTTTGTTCAGTTGAGTGTTAGTTATCAATTAGCTGCATCGCTACTAAAAGCACAACAACAAAAGCAAAATGAAGTAAACCAGACAACAACTGTGTGTCACTCTGTCATCATCTTCGTAAATGGACTAGATTCAAGGACCTTGCCATTAATTCTCATTAATCACTTATGACTCAGTTTAGTTGATCCGCAATAGTTCTTATCGCTGTTATTCGCATACATACACACATATGTAAGTACTTAGCTAGCTAGCACTGTACTTAGAAAATCGTCAGGTTGCACTTGAAAGTGAATAACATGGAGTCGATCTATTACTTTTGCGCAATGTTTGATACCAAACTTTCAACCATACATATATTAAATATTTAATATCAAAATTTTCCAATTTTTAAGCTTATTGTGATTTCTTTTCTCCAAAAAAATATTGCCTTCCCAGTGCCTTCTACGCACAAACACTAATAACACCAACTTGTATGAATTCGCCTTGAAATGGGGCTTTTGTGCGATTTCCACATCGTAATGGGGGGTAGCGTTTATATGGGTAAATCTCGCGAGTTGTTAAATTTTTCCACAAAAACTGATTTTTGGTCGAAAATGGTGGCACACTTATCTTAGACAATGCATTATCTTCAGTTTTGTATAAATAACAAGATCCCATCACGAAATTGCATTTAAATGAAAACTTAAAAAAGATATACTAAAAAAGTAAAAATAACCACTCATGCTCATATATCCGAAGTTGCGCATGTAGCGTATGCGCCCCGTAGCACCATACACAGTCAGCTAACACGTTTACTCGCACGCCTTAACTTAAAAGTAATTAAATATTGTCGTGGATGATATTTACACAGCATTACTTATGCATATATACGTATATTAGACTGCATCACTCTCCATACAAAAAAAATACAAAATAAAATCGGTACTATTTTTCCATTGGAATTATAAAATCTATTATATTTTAAGACGTCCACCAAAATATTTCGGAAAAATATTACGATTTACGTGAGCTGTACCGATTTGAAAATACCTCTAAAAATGGATTTTTTTTTATGAATAAAAATAGTTTCTTAAACGATTTTCCTTTTTGAAAAAACCCCCTCAAATGACAAAACAGTTTAAGCTTAAAAAATTTGCTTAAGCATATTTAAAAAAATTAAAAAAAAAATTTTTAACGGAATCGTAAAAAGATTGGTATAAGAAAAACTTGAATAACTGAACCTAAACCTTTCCGATTTAAACTTTAATTTAGACTTTAGAGTTGTCATTGGAAAGGTATTTTCTCAACCTTTTTATTTCTTTGCTAATAAACTCATTCAAATGATGAAAGAGAAAGGTAGGATGAACGAACGTCATTCAAAGTTGAATTAAGATGTGATGGTATCTGAAAAAAAAAATAAAATAAAATTGGGACACGAATGACTTTTTTTTGACAGAAATAAAAACCTTGTGAAAATACCCTTCTACTGAGATCCCACAAGTCTAAATCAGTTATTCAAGTTTTTCGTAAATCAATCTTTGAAAAAAGTAAAACAAACAGAATCAAAAATCTCATTTTTACGATTCCGCTGAAAAGATTTTAAAATATTTTTAGGCAGATTTTTTAAGCTTAATCTGTTCCATGTGTGCCATCTGAGGGGACTTTTTTCAAACATTTCTTTAAGAAACTATTTTTATCCATAAAATACTCCATTTTTGGAGGTATTTTCAAATCGGTCCAGCTTGCTTAAATCTTAATATTTTTCCAAAATATTAATATTTTGTAGTCCCGGCGGAAAAACTGCAACTTTTCTTGGTGATGCAGTCTTCATGTATATAAAAATTTTAGATTGAATTTCGAGTGTGCCAATAAAAATTGTAAAAATGGAATTTTAGTTTCTCAAATCATAGTCGTCTCTTACTCAATGTAATTTTTTTACATTTGGCACAGTAGTTTTATTACACTAGATTCGTTCGTTTTGGTAAGAACATTTTCACCGTTTAATTTTAAGGTTTTTTCGTACCTTTAATTATTAAAATTAAAAAAAAAATCGTAAATTTTCAAGATTTACAGATATTCTGCATGCTGCCAGTTTGTTTTTTTAATTTGGTAACACACTCTTGAAACTTCACAGATATATTGTATTTGATGCCAACGTCCATTGCCTCTAATATGAACACTATATTTGAAAACTTCCCAAAGCTAAATATTAAAAAAAAACAATTATTATTTATTCGAATGATAATGAAGAGGTTAGTAATTTGAGTACTTTTTGTCTAAATAGGCATTTTAAGGCTAAAATTGTTCAAATAGTTGATTTATTTTTTATTGTATGTACTTATTTCTGGAACTCCAGTGATTGAAATATATGCAAGCCTTAGCCTTAGCGTTTTTTTTTCTGGTGAGAGAAAGATGTTACACTAAAGAAGTAACTCGTGAGATTTGATCATATGCTTCTTCAAGGCAAGGCTTCACACCCACATAAAATATCTCAACTCAACTTTTTAAATTGATAGGTGGCAACATTGTGCAAGCATTTTTATTACATAATTTTTTTTTAATCTGTGGTTATAGGATTACTATTCTTAAGCTTGTTGGAAGCTGAGAAAAAGAATAACCCCATAACCAAGAAGACATGTATAGGTTCTTATATCGTAATATTTTTTTTATTTACTCTTATTTGACGACTGTTTCCAAAAATATATTTTATAAGTGCTTGATGCTGCTTTCGCACTTCTAGGAAAATCGTCTATTCATGTATTCATTACTTTGTACCTTTATCAGAGTACCGTTTGTTTTGAGCTGCTTTATCCTTTGATTTCAGCCCCTTACATATTTAAATACATTCATCACAGTCTAATTATTTAATACGTAATTACTTTAAGTACATTTCTTATTCCTACGAAAAGTATGGCGTAAAAATCCAAATTCAAACAAGTGTGAAGAAAATAAATTCTTTGGCGCAGTTTCTACCCACACTACGTTATTTTCATTCTTTCTCGTTTGCATTTCTATCGTCTGCCTCATCAACTTTACTTAATTTTAAGAATACTTCATTTAGTTCTACATCTGAACGATAAATTCCCGCCGCCTCCTCCAGCGCTATCTGCGATTGCCGCCGCGCCACCTCAGCGTTGGTCACACGCCGGCCGGTGCGGAAGTACTCCTCAATCTCCAATAGGGTACGACCTTTCGTCTCTGGCACAATGAAAACGATAAACGCCACACCCAATAGCGAAATCATGCCGAAGAAGGCGAAACTATTTGCAGTGCCTATCGCAGCTTCCATGGTGGGATAAAGCTTAACGACACTGAAGGAGAAGAAGAGACCAATGCAAAGTGTACACCCATTGGCGCTGCCACGTACGCGCTGAGGAAATACCTCCGAGATCATAAAGAATGGCAAAGTTAACAATCCCATTGTCGAGAAGATTATGTGCAGAATAATGCAAATGGCGGACAGCAGTGGCAGGTGCTCACCTATAACTGGCCACCAGCCATTGGCGGCAAGCAGCAGCATACAAATGGTCATGCCAGTCGCTGAGACTATACCCGCTGGACGGCGACCCCACCTATCGAAAATCATGCCCATAAAAAATGTGGTAATAATGCGTGCGACACCGACGAACACGGCCACAAGCAGCGGATCCGCGGCGACGCCAGCGCGTGTCGCAATTTGAGCGGCGAATACAATAACAACGACGATGCCCGAACACTGCTGGAAGAAGAAGAAACCGATCATCATTATTAGAGGTTTGTAGACTTCGGGCGCGCGTATGGCTTGCAGCAGGGACTCATTAGCGGCTGCTGTGCGGCTGAGGTCCGAATTCTTTTTGATGAGAGCCAACTCATTTTCAAACTCCTCGTAGATTTTGTTATCTGATTTTTGGGATAAGAGAGATTTTCTTATAGAGAGTTAGACACACAATTTACATATCCAGTCCTACCTTTACTCGATAGACCACGAAAATATTTAAGCGATTTACGTGCACGTTCCTCATAGCCTTTCTGCATCAGCCAACTAGGCGATTCGGGCATCGGCAAACAGCAACAGAAGGCAAAACATTGATAAACAACCGAAATAATGGAGATCAGTTTGAAGTTGTTCTGCAAAGGTAAAAATAGATTTGAACTTGTCTACGTGCAGATATCTGTGGAACGCATAAGAAAATAGGAGTAAGAATACTGCCGAAAACTTACTCGTATGAAGTAGCCCAATAAATACATTAGTAGTATCCCGCTAGCGATGGCAATTGATGTGCCCATAATGAGTCGTCCTCGTATACGTGGCAGACTGATCTCAGCCGCATAGGAACCAATCGGTGACAGACATAAACCGATCAATAGACCTAGGAAACAGATAATGCTTTAGTTTTGTGCTTTTTATGTATATTTTTTAGTTTATTTCTACTCACCACAAAAAAATCGTCCCATGAGCAATTGTATGTAAATGGCATCACGAGTGCTTTGGTAAGGTGCAGTAGCCAGCAGTACCAACCCGATAATGCCAACGAAATTCGTACATAGCATTGTATTCTTACGCCCAATGCGATCCATAAGATAGCCCACCATCAAACCGCCAATCGGGCAGGCCATGCTATTAATTGATGCTGGAGAGAGAACACAAAATAATTGAAAATGATTGTGGATGTTAGGCTAGATTAGGTAAGAGTGCAAAAGAGCTCTTAATTAGCCTAAGGCCCTTAGAAATTCTTCCTCATCTCTGCAGCTGAAAAAAAAATCGTTGCTTTGATATCCTCACCTCTTAATCTGTGTACCAATATGGTAGTTTCCGGTTAATACACCAACTGTTAATCTAAAAGAGGAGCGGTCAGCCGTGTGGGCGATCTGCTTTTCAACGACTTTTGGCTAGATGTGCCATGTAGTCTGATCGTGGGTATCGCAGCCCACCTGGTGTGTTTAACTCTTCGATGTAGGGAATTTCTATTGTTATTTTCTGGAGGTTAAAGGCATGACCACTTCCTGTTTAGATATTATCAGGGCTTGTCGGCCTTGCTGTTACCAAGGATATCCCTGAGTCCGAAGGCCCACTCAACCATTAAGAAACGTTTCGATGAGAGCTGGCTGAGAATCCCTTTGCACTCAATGTCTACCTTGGACGTAGCTCCGTTGGAATTTATAAATTTGATAGCAGCCTGACAGTCAGAATATGCAGTGTAGGCAGTTCTGAAAGAACAAAGACTACGAACCACAAGATGGAATCCTTTATTGCGGTTACTTCTGCCTTAAAAACGCAACAGTGGTCAGGTAAACGAAAACTGAGGTCTAGTGAGTAAATACCGCTACCTATCCCGTCATTTGCTGAAAACCATCTAAGTAGATAGCCGCCTTCCCATTTGTTCCTCTTTAGAGAAGTATGAGAAGAGGGCTTCGTCGGCTTGGGCAGCAACATTACCGTTGACCAAGCTCGGTTGACCAGAACATCTCCGAGGCCGTTCTGGCGAAGACGGTCATACTCATGCCATCGGTAGTTTAACAGCTCTATCAGCAAGCTTTATGTTCTTTGTTCAGATATATTCACCCATTGCTTTAGCTGATCTAGATTTTTTTTATTTCTCAGAACAACACCAAGTTGCGATGTGGTGTTTAAGAGATTAAGTAATGCATACGGATCTCGAGTTAGTAGTGGTCAACTTAAAGGCTCTAATATCAGTTTGACATTTTACATATACATATATAAGGTGAGATCCAACAAGAAGGGGTAGATTACTCGTAAGTAAGTAAAAGAGATCCAAGAGTACCTGCTATCCAAGGCCTTAAAGAGATTTGTTTATATCTACAATCTCCATTTGCACCCAATGCGATTGGCTATCTCACTTCTCAGACTGATGCGCTATAAGTGAAAGTGTTTCTTTCGACTCAATGGCACTAAATATCTGCCATAAGAGGGTACTGGAATATCTGACCACCTTTTTATAGCAAATTCAGTTATCAATAAAGTTTGGATAGCTTTTTTAATGTGTTAAAGAATTTTTAATTCGTGTGTATTCACAATATGAGCCAACTAACGTTCGGCAGGAGATGTTGCTGAAGATAGACAATTGAATTGGAGGAGCTGAGTAAGCTAATTCGTCACTAAGAAAACGTTCCTAAGTTTCTATCATTTTACTCACCAAACCAACTACTCTCCTCGGTATTAAGATTATAAATATCATTTGGATTTGTTAGTTGTGCAAGAGATACGGAAGGCAATGCCGCAGACATGCCAGCTGCTACCACACAAGTGTTTCCAAGGATGACCATCAGTTCCTGTGTGGAGAAAAGATCAGTTTAGCTTTAATATTCATACGTTCTTGTATACATATCGAGCCCTAATCGCCAAAACGACGTAAGCGATGCTCTAGGGATATTTCTGCATTAAAAAGAAAGTTTTGAAAGAAAATGTCGCTTACGTTATTTTAGCGGTTAGGACTCGAAATGTTTAATAAAATTCAAGCACCTGCCGCAGTACTGCTCTTTTGCTTTCGCCAAGTGGTTTCGGTGGTTTCGTTTTATCGAGGCCAGTCACAATTAAAACTTTGTGTGCTGAACTGCCATTTTGCAATTTCACCAGATCCGAGTGATTAGTCATTTTGAGCAAGGTGTATTTCTTGTAAAGCTAATTTATACAAGTATTTATTGTAAAGTTGTCCGCTTAAAAGTTTAATATCGGTGGAAATTATGTGTTTAGAAATCTGAAAATACATACATACATACATATAAACAAAATAAAATTTTACAAAAAGTAGAAGAAACATAGCATTCTGTAATCATAGCTATTAATTTTTACTATATTTTAACATAGTTTTTATCGAAAAATTAGTGACAGACTAAGACCGATATTTTGTACTTCTAAACGAAGCTTCTTCTATAAAGGTGTAATGCTCCCTTCTCTAAAAAAAAATCGAATATAAATAAAAATCAATAAGTCACACTTACCAGTTGGTTGCGCCTGAATCAGCTGAGCATCCAGCTCCAAAGAATATTTGAACTATGCTCAGTTAGTTTCGTTGTTGCTTTCCTCTGTTAATTGTACATTTGGCTAGCATTTCCCGTATTTAGTTACAGCACATCTTTTTTTTTATTTATGAGTATCATATTTCAACAAATTAGCTTTAGCGATATAAATCTCTCAAATTTTTTTGTCTTGGTGGAAAGTTGTGTACTTTTGCGTTTATATATTGTAATGTTTTTTTTTGCAAAAACAGGCTGCCAGTAAAGTTTATTACACTGTTATTACTTTCATTAATTCAAAGCATTCCTAAATATGATATCATATTTGAGAAATTGCTTAACTTTTTGATTTGACTTTTATTTCATATTTTATTTGTTATTGCTCTTATTGAACAGTTATCTTCAAATTCCAATATTATCATATAATCCTTAAATAATATATATACAAATACTATGTATGTACTTCATGCCTTGTACCCTGTCAATTGTCTGGCATATATTGGCACACCTAATATATATTAGTGGTCCGCGACGCGAATTCTCGTACGCTTGGTAGTTTGCTTAGTACTAGTAACAGACTGGTTCGGATTTTTGAACTTAAACGCAAAGCTTTTGCTTGAATTTCTACCTGCATTTGTTTGGTGATTGGCGGCGAGATTCAGCTACAGAATTTGCTGCGATGTGAATGGAATAAAACAGCTGTTGCTGCTAAACCGGTCGCATTGATGTGAGAATACAGCTTTGATCAACTTATTGGGAAAGCCACCTAAGTATTGAAATGATTTTTTATTTTCATTTTTACAATCCTTACTAATATTATATGCCCGAAGGTGAGTTTGTTTATTTTTTACGCTTTCACGCTTTAACTACTCAACCGATACTCATGAAATTTTGTACAAAGGTGTCATTTAGCCCAACTTAAAATATAGGATAATTTTAATTTAGATTAGACGAGGGGGGAGGCACATCCTATACAAAATTTTTTCATACCGCATATCTCAGGAATATTTTTGATATAGCACTGGGACTTGGCATAGATATATGTAAAATCAATTCCATACTCATAGAGGAGGGCTGACACCTGTTTAAAAAATCAAATTCGACTGGAATTAAGAGACTTATTTGTTTGAAAGTTATATTAACCCTTTCAGTGTTGGAAAAAAATTACGGTATGCTAAACATCTAAAAGTTTGTATATCAGGAAAAGTCAACCCCCTGAAGATGAGAAAACTTTTTTTTGTGGAAAGCTTATCGTTCAAAAGTTATAGCTTGCCAGATATATTTGACAGGGCATATAAAATTTTTAAAAATTGTTCAAACCACAAATAAACAATTACAGCTACGATTTTTTACCTGTGGTATAGTCACAAAACTAAAAATTTAAAAAAAATATATATTCAAACTAATTTTGTTACAGTCAATTTATACAATGCTACTAAATAGAAAGTTTTTCAAAGAAAATAGGATAAATACAAGAGGTGACTTAATCAGTCGCATTTTAGTAGCATCCATATGCTACTATGCCGATTAAATTCGACGAATTCCCGGAAAGGGTTAAAGAATTGATGGCAAGAGGCTTACAAAAGTTATAGTTTGAAACATATTTTGGAAAGGGTTGCCACCGGTTTGAAAAGCCAAATTTAAATCAATTATTTTCAAGCTCTCTGAAAAATTAATATATGGGTGTCAAATGAAAGGCTGCTAAGAAACCTACAGATTGAACATTTAGAATGTTACTGAGGTATTGACAAACATTGCCACCCATTTAAAAATTAAATTCAGTTAATTTAAATGAATTATTACAATATGGGTATCAATTGAAAGGTTTTTGATAAGGATTTTAAATCACATGTAGGAGGGGTGTTATCTGTTTGAAAAATCGAATTCCTCTTTAATTAAGGGAATTTGGTCATTTGAATATGTATCACAATATGGATGTCAGACGAAACAGTTTTAATAGGGTTTCAGTAGGAAAATATTTGGAAGAGGGCTGCCAGCTGTTTTTAAAGTCGAACATGTATAGTTTTCTGAGGTATGTAAGGTAATTTTCTGAGGCTTTATTTCAACAACAAGATATGTATGTACAGCAGTGTTTCCACATTATAGAAATTAGCGGCTTAAGAAGTAAGATTCAAACTATTCAATCATTTCAATGAATTATTACAATACGGGTATCAATCAAAATGGTTTTGAAATTGCTTAATTTCTAAACTACATGTATTTACATAAGTATGAAAACAAGAGAGAGGTTTAAGATAGTTTTAGTTTGAAAATATTTTGAAGATAGTTAAAAAATTTTAATCTCCTGCTTTTCGCATATTTTAAGTATTTTGAGTTTAATTGAAATAAATTACACCTAATGGTAGTTATAATTTGGAAAAAGTAGAAGACTTCGATTATTTAGGAATAATGGCATGCATAAGATCCAACGGAGAATCACTATTGCCAACAAGTTCTTCTTTGGACTGAGTAGGCAACTGAGAGGTAAAGTCCTCACTCAACGTAAAAAAAAACTATATTCTACAAGTCGCTCATCATTCCCGTGCTCTTATATGACGCGAGCGATGAACACCCCTTGGAGTATTCGAAATACAAATTTTGCCAAAGGTTTACGCTGGCTGCGGCGTATACAGCAGACGAAAAATGCTATTTAATGACGTTGTAGATACCATGATGTAATTTTATTTGGGTTTTCAAAATTGTGCACACCATCAAAACTAGGCTCATTTTAAATAACGATCCTTTCGATATAACAGGGGTATTTTTATGTAATTTACACAAGAGTTTGTCGCCTTAAGTAGAAATCATTTTTACTGGATGGGTATTCTGCCGAAATCCGCAATAAAATTTACATTTTTGCAAAAACAGGCTTTTTGACACCTTGCTTGTTATAGAATAGTGAATGATAGTGATGTAAAAGAGAATATTATTTCTATTAATTTCGAAATTTGGGCATTTAATTAATCATTAATGGGTGATTCACAAGATGTCATTACTACAAGGTGGCGCAAAAATCATCACCGTCTAGATAGATCCTAAACTTTTTGCAAATTTTGCAATTTGTGGAGCAAACAGATATTTATAAAATACAAGTCAAAAAGTCAGCAAGACATAAATCGGTATTCTCCTCAAGAAAGCGGGTAAAAAAAGAAAATGCCATATGGCTGATATTTCTTTTCGACTTAATGCAAAAAAAAAAATGTAGAACAAAATTTCTTTTAGGCCAAAAGGCGGCCAGTTTTTCAATGCACGGCCGAGGTTTAAACTAAAATCAGCCAATCAGATGTCAGCCAGCTGTTCAATTTAAACTCAGTTAACCTAATCTAAGTTTAAACTGGCACTGAAAAACTGGCCCTAAGTCTTTTTTTTAATTTATAACTATGACAGTATTCCTAATATGGCATATATTTCTTTAAGTAAATTTGAAGAACTTTGAAAATTTCAACGTTTCTGTTTAGCTGGCCCGAACTGTATGTAAACAAATACAGTTGTAGTAGAACAGAAACAATTTTGTATACATTTAACGGCATAAAAGGTAAAAGAAATAATTGTGTTGTACATACATACTTACATATGTACGTATAAAGCAATTTTCGTAAAAATATTTTTAATCGCATGGTAATAGACTTTTACCTTTCGTTTTATTTTCTAGATACATACATGTGTAGTAGAAACTGTCTTTCCTTTTCCCCCTAAATTTCGTTAATAGTTCCATGCTTCAGATTTTCCGGAAAAGAATTTGACTGTATAGATAAGGTAGGTATCGATTTTTTGATTAGTTGGTCTACGCAAGTTACAGCTGTCGCTTCGGGAGTCTTTTGAGTACATATATGGGCAAATCTAAAAAACAGGTACACTTTCCAAACAAAAAGTTTATTTTTATACCCGAGCGCACTTGTGCACAAGGGTATATTAATTTTGTTCACATAACGGTTGTTTGTAACAGCCAAAACGAATCGAGATAGATATAGACAAATGTATACATAAATG